GGCACCGAAATTATTAAGATCTGCCGGTCCCGAGTTCACAAAACATTCGCAGGCTTAAGTTAAGAATTTACTCACAATTGTTCATCTTGTTTTAACTAAAATATAGCGCTTTACAAAACTTGAGTTGTTTTAATGTATCAATAAGAAACTATGTGCAGAGATTTTTGTTTCTGAATTAAAGATATTTCTCATATAAACAGTGATGGAAAGTTGAGTAAATTCTTAACTCAAGTCTGAGAATGCTTTGTGAACCCAAGGCCTGATTTGTCTCCTTTTATGAAGTGGGGCAATATCTGCTTTCTCCAACAACATGAATTAGTTATATTGGCTGTAATAACATTGCATCCAAACATTTTAACATTTCCGAATCCAGGCCTACTGCTTTACTACTTTTTTATCTATCTATTTCTTTTATAACGTCGTTTATTGCAAATAATTTGTCTCTTATCTGGGATTCTTCAAGATTTTCTGGTAATTTATTATTTTTACCGTTGCTTTTTGCCAGATTTAGCGCTTATATTTGGTTTTATTTTGGAAGCATATTTACTGGCCATTTCATTTGTGAAGAATTTATTGATTTCCTGATTAATCTCTGCAAATATCTACCAAGGAAAATATACTCTCGAAATTGTAACTCTTTCGGGATCAAATAAACTCATTGAAACGACTTAGTGCAATTATTATACAAATAACAATATGAGGCTAGTTTTCCAAAATAAATAGGTATTGTATAACGTTCATTAATTACTAGCATTTCGTATTATAAAACATCGAGCAATCAATTCTCCCTGTAAAATGAAAATGTTCATAATCGAACTTGGTCACGGTATTGATGTAATGACACTATTCTGCAAGTTTTGTCATTCTCAGTTAATTAGAATAAGAGTGTTCCAAAGCTTCGACGTGCTCATCATCCGAATTAGTCAAAGTATCCATGGAATGAGTTTCATCACTCTGGTTCAATTAGAATCAAGTTACCGTGTTTCAAATAATCGAAATTGCATACTTAGCTTAAAGTAGCTAAGTCTTAACTCAATATCATCCACAGACTCCGACATTGAAAAGACGAATTATTTGTCAATTTAAATCAACATTGATGTTGTGATCTAACCGGGAATAGATGGGCTTCTGATATCCAATATTTAAGACAAAGTAAAGAATTTATCATTGGTACACAAATCGTGAACCAGAATGCGTTTCAGCGCCATTTGTAACAAGGGACTCGAAGAACGGGGCTAGACATATTCTACAAGTCATGTCAAACGGTGACCTCATATTCTTATCTGGAGAACATGCGCAATAAATACTACGGGTGTAGACTGGAATAACCAGACGTTGGAGATTGCCATTCGATATTTTGCCGAACATAACTGACTTGAAATAAGAGTAAGAAGGGAAACGATTGAATGTAAATCAGTTTATATACATTCATATTACATTATTATATGTGTTGCAACCAATTTGTGTCAATTTTTAGGTCCCAAATATTAGCGATTTAGCTCCTTTAAGCAAAAAATGTTCATCATCATACTCGGTCAAGACATTCATCTCACCGCCTAACCAAAATTGTACATTATATCTCTTACGCTGTTCACTTGCTACATTCACGTCTCTTGAATATCAAAGCTTGTGAATCGATGCAGTTGACGTTTTGTTCTGTAGATTCCATAAACATGGCTCCTAACCATTGTACTTTGTACTTCCACCTGCTGTCCACAATAAAAAATTCTTTTCTAAAGAAATTAAAGTTACCAGATTGTTTCAAAGTTGCTCCAGATACACCCCTTATCAAAAAACATCCCTTGACCCGAATCTGAACAAGAACTACGTTGTAGACTGGCATCAAACTATATCAAAACTGCTTATAAAATGTACTGCAAAACAATTAAAAACAGCCATAAATGAAAATAATATTATAGAAAAGTACCCAAAACTAGTTTATTGAAAGTTTCGAATGACATTAAGGTGTCCAACGCAACGATAGTCAAAATTGTGCATCATTTGTATTGTTAGACCTATCGGCACTGCTGACTATATTACATAAAATGTCGTCAGGTTTCCTGTATTATCAAAACAATAAACGCTTTATGGATTTTACATTATTATCTGGTAGGCCACAGTTGTCCAGTTCTTCTCAACAATATGAGCAACAGGATGTATTATTCTGTGTTTCTCAATCTATCGTTAAAACAACTGTTAAACATCAACTGTAAATAGTCGGTCAGTAAACAAAGCTGGAAAATATGGCATACACAAAATAATCAAATCCATGCCGATGACATACATTTGTACAAATAGCTTTTAAACCCACTGACACAAAACAAATTATCTGAATCACAGCTATTAAAATATGTATATGAAAAAAAAACCAACTTAAAAACAATCAGATTGTGAAAAAAAAGAATAATAACAGTAAGTTCTAATGATCACTTTAAGAGTTTTTGCCCTTAATCAAATACAGAAAAAAGTGAACGCTCTATCTCTGGGCGAATGCGGTCTACTATGTCCTGAAATGTGATCAATTACTGGGTTATTTTACATGACAATGTAAGTATACCGGTATGTTTTTTATGTGTCATAGGACAATGCCCATACAATTGTGACGTGATATGTCATATAAAGTAGTTCTAGTTATACATGTGACGTTTATCTGGTGTTTTAATATCAGATAGCTTCATTTGTCAACACGGTGTTTTTAGTAGATGAATAATTTGAATATCGGTACAGGGATTCTTAGAAAACAAGTCGGCTTTAAAATTGAAAAAAAAATTTCCAATCCTTTTTAGCACCCGTTAATGAACAAAATATCCCATGCCGCATAAAAGACCCGAGTCTATTTCACTTATAAACGCCCCCTCCGCCCCCAGCCTTAGGTAAATCCGGCACTGCTGTCTATAATTCATATGCATAATAATGCCAGTAAGAAAAATAAAGGGCAACCATGTTTGCAAATATACGTTGTGGGGATCTGAGGCAGGTAAACAATATTTCCAGTTTCATATTATAATTCCATAATTTTGACCTAACTGTCATGTAAATTAAAACAATCCTTTGGTCTAATATTAAAACATAATCCTTTGGTCTAAAACAACTGCATTTTTAGATCTTAAATAAATTTTATTATAATTTCAAACAGTACATGTCCAAATTGTAGATGTCCACAGAACTTGGTCCTTTCTTAGTATTAATTTCGCAGCGGTGGCAAGCAGGATACTTTAATAGCTCCATAAGCTCAAAATGAATAAACACAATATTGCAATTCACCCAGATCTTATTTTTCAAATATAAGTATTCTGTGATGATGTCACTAATAAAAAAATTCAGTATTTGAAAGCCTTGTATTTTGCCATTTTACTTGGATTCAAACACTTACAGTAATATAATTGTATATATTTTCTTTAATTTGTCTTCAAATCAGATTTTATCAGAAGAAAGCATATTCTATCAGTCAGAATACTCAAAACCTTGAGTGGCGTGGCAGTGATCTTTTAAGGGGGTGGGGGGACGTGGGATTCTCTCTGGAAAAATCGATGGAACTGGACATAGTTTTATTGTTTGTACAGAATCAGCACAGATAAGAAGTAATGTAATCAGTATAAAATCTTGTAGGAATGTTTCTAATTAATTATTCATGAAAACAAAGCTGGCTTTAATCATTGCTTCGTAATCGACTGTTTGTCTATCACAAGGATGTAGAACACAAGGATGTTAATTCCTAACCAAATAACAACCGTCTTCAACTAATATCCTTGTAAAGGTCGGTCATGATGTCATCCAAATGTCGCCAAACTTTCCATTACTGAACAGGGAAATTTATGTGATTGTATTTTATAATGTTTTATGTTTTATTTGATATTAATCTGTATTTTAGAAATAGTGTCTAGTATGATCGAGCAATATACTTTTAAATTAACCTTTAAATGAATAATATGTAAATGCCTTGTAACACTTTAATAAACACCACTTCTTCATTCATTAAAGCAGATTTTATACCACTAACAAATACAACTGTTTCTAAAGCAGTGGTGGCAGGCATACAATTTTATCAATATCATTCTAAGGGTCAGAAAATAGCATAAATCAACTGCTCATGCATGAATGAAATTAAGATGGGTACCCCCCGCCCGTCACATCCCACCCTTTTAGAATGTGGCAAAAACATTGCCAATTACGTAACTAAATTTATCCCACAACAAAGCGTAACACAAGGCTATTTATATAATGTTAAAATGCCAAAACACCTTTGATAAAAACATTACCAATTTGTTTAAGTGACACTAAGTCTTCCGAAATAAGCCTTTGATAAAATAAAGTTTGACACAAACAGCGATGCCCATTTCTCCAACAATGGGTAATATAGATTTTCGTTGTAAAATTTGTCAGCGACAATTCATAAATTATTCTTAAAAATGTTATCTTGAATTGTAAAAATACATTATAACATTTCCATTTACAAAACCAACAAACACATTGTTTCAATTCTTACTAAGAGAATAAATATGCCTGCCAAGTAATTCAATTGCTTTTAAAACACGTGTCTTAGATTTATTCAGTAATTATTTATTACTAGGATAGGTGCCACTAACCCAATCGTATACCAGCAGGCGGGGCAGTAATATATAATATAGACATGATTGTTTGGATAAAAACATGTACATACATCGGCATATTCTTTTTTTAGACCTTAAAACCAGAACAAATACGTCATCGTTGCCGCGCGCCACAACCAAAGAATGTAAAAACAATTTAGGATCGATAAATATTATGATTTTGTAATGATTCCTAATACACCAAATTTGACAAATTAAACAATAACCTGTAACAAAATGATAAAATATGTTATATTATGACAAGGTATGACGTGCGTGCTTTTATTCGTTTCTGTTTGGTTATTTACCCGTAATTAAAGAGTTATGTTGGCCGGATTTTACCCCACCTACCCTGACGATTGGAATGGACTCGTCCATGTCTATATAAGCACCTAACACTCTGACCTAAAAATTCATTCTTAGAACTTTACCTTGCCGGTAAAATTTATGGGAAGAAATAAACTGAACAAGTAAAATGGGATTATTAAAAGTTCAAGAAATAAAGGGATGTGAGGTGAGTTGTATTTAAAATTACCCGATCAAATACAACCAGTAATTAGAAAATATCTCTCGGCGAATAAATCAGACACGTCGTGTGCCTACTATTACTACACTACAACATGTGTGTACATACGTGTGAATGAAAATATGGGTCAATCTTTTTTTCCCACAATGTCAAACTACCAGCATTGTTGTCTAGATCTTCCATTTATATAGCGAGAATAATATATTCTAAACTTCAATTTATTAATTTGAAAAAACAAACAAAAAAAAAACCCAATAAACATCGTATTATGAAAATATACCTTAAACAACGTGATAAAAGATATATTCCGTTATTTAAATTGCGGGAATTCACTTGATCCATGAATTGTATCCGTTTATTTGATTCAGATTGTGCTTTTAATGGAGATCACTGGCTGAAATTTTTGGTTATTTTATAAGCTTCTAATATATGTGTACGTAAGACGACGCAATCTTTTGTCAAAAGACGACTTATAAATTTCAGCATTGTGTAAACGTCTACTTAATATTTCCGCAATTCATTATCGAAATCCATTTTTTTAAAACGTAATTATAGAAAATTTAACACGTAGACTGTTTTCGTTGGCCTTATATGGTGATGGCATCTGCAGCCTTCGTAATGAACCACTGGCACACAGGTGGAATATTGATTGCAGATGCCCAGACAGCACGCGCGATGCCAATGAATTATCTATATTCGATTCCAAGATGTGGATTTTTCCGTTATATATCGATCCATGGAAATTTTCTGTAATACCACTTTTAATGTTTTTTAGCAATAAATAATATTCACCTTAGCTACTGATACTACTAATGTAGCTGTGTATGCTTCATTTTTACTGCTCGATGTTGTTCGAGGCGGAAGATGCTTAGTTTAAAATAAAATTATAACCACATCTGTTCAACATTCGTCATTCATAAACTATTTGGTCTTTTGCCATTTATTGATTTCATTAGTAGGGTGGAATGTAGACACATGGATATAATATATTTATGATGATGTACAGGTAACAGACGTTTGTAGTGACTAATTCTATGACGCATAAATGTAAACTAAAACAATAAATCAATTCTTTCACTCACTCCCACAAATAATGTACATGTTTTTCAACTATTTTTCATGGAAATTGCTGATTTCAACTCAACTTAATACTCACGTTAAATAAACATCACTTTGGTTACACTTAATAAGTCTTAAAGCCCACGATCAAAGTCACTGGTGAATTCCATAAAAAAAATCACATTTCTCCAGTCCAAGTGTTTTTAAAGTAATTTTTAGCCAGTGTTTAAGCTGATTCGAATTACTTTTTTTCATTAAAAGATATCCATGGTCACAAGAGATGCTAATTATTTTGTTCACTGAAATGAATATATTTTTTTCAAAACCATTACATGTATATCACTAGTACTATAATTTATATATATATATATAAATATATATAGTTTGTGTCGGCATACCTTTTATCTTTTCATCATTTACCGTGAAACGAAGTAGTGCAGCTTTGCGGTTGTGCTAATAATTTTGGATATATAATATATATATATACTCGTGTCATACTCAAAATAAAATATTGTTTAAACCAATATACATGTATTGTGGATTTTATTAATTTAAATTATTATATATCCTACAAAATCTCTACTTTTAGTATCCAAGTAAAGATGCTGAATTGTTCCAGTCATCTGGATCATCAATGTCCTGCTCCACCATATCCAGTTCTAGCTCCACTACTAGCAGTGATGATGGCGATGGAAAATCTGATCGTGGAAATTGGAAGGGAAAGATGGATTTTCTCCTGTCCTGTATTGGTTATGCAGTTGGACTTGGAAATATCTGGAGATTTCCATATCTTTGTTACAAAAGCGGAGGAGGTATGTTTAAAAAAGTATTTAATTTAAATATTTGATCTCATTAATAATGGTAGGGTATTACAAATACAGGTTTAAATAATATTTTTTACATCCTGGATATCTTTGTTACAAAAGCGGAGGAGGTATGGTTAAAAAAGTATTTAATTTAAATATTTGATCTCATTAATAATGGTAGGGTATTACAAATACAGGTTTAAATAATATTTTTACATCCTGGATAAATTATAATCAAATAGAGATATTAAATTTTCTGATAGAGTAAATATTTATAAACTTTTGAAAAGTATGTATTACAAATATAAATGTTTTTTGAAAAGACAAAAAAAAAGATGCAGATTAGGATTAACACATTATAAATTTGTTTGTTATTTTTTCTCCAGGTGCCTTTCTGATTCCTTACCTTTTCTTTATGGTAATAATTGGTATGCCTCTACTGTTCATGGAAATCACTTTTGGTCAGTTTGCTAGTTTAAGTCCAATTACCATTTGGAGAATCAGCCCACTTTTTAAAGGTAAAAATCAAATTTATTTCACTTTATGCGTACCAACTGAATAACTTTCACATATTTATGTCAAGGGGAACAACTCTGTTTCTGTTTTGTCTTATCCGAACTTTGTCATGCCTACATGTATTGTACTACTCATATGAGTTTGTGACCACCATCATTATTTGTAAAATAGATTGTTTTAAGAATTAAGTAAATGATGATTAGCCAATGTATGCAGATGAACCATTTGATTAGTTAATATAAACCCATAGTTACCTATTAAGATTTTAATGGCTTCATCAGCACCTTTTTATAAGCCCACAGGTAAACTTTGTTTATTCATTATGTTTATAATATCATTTTACCCTTTTCAGGTGTTGGTTATGGTATGGTTATTATATCTGGTATTGTTTGTATCTACTATAATATTATTATAGCATGGACGCTATATTATTTATTTGTCTCCATGCAGTCTGTTCTGCCATGGAGTAATTGTGATAATGATTGGAATACAGAACAATGTGCATTAAGGGAACATGGTAACAATACTATATTGTCTAATTACTCAACAAATGGTAACTTCACCACATTATTTAATGACACATTTACCAGTATTAATGGAACCGTCATCTCTGTTATGTCGAATGCCACCACCATGAGCCGTGTACCACCAAGCAAGGAATATTGGCAGTAAGTTAAACCAATAGATATCAGTATTTTTTTAAAAGATATTTTACTGTTATTAATAAGCATACATGTACACAAAAATCTAAAAGTAAATGCAAAAGGATCACACACCACACCACAAGTTCTTATAAGTTCAAATTGTTTTGCAGAAGAGCAGTATTACAGATAACTGATGGTATAGAAGATATTGGAGGTATCAGATGGGAGTTGTTTGGTTGTCTAGCTCTCGCCTGGGTTGTTATCTTTCTGTGTTTATGTAAAGGTGTTCAATCCTCTGGACGGGTATGTTGAAAATTACTACATTTTAAAAATTTTGTATTTCTACTGTAAAATCATAAACTTTAAAAAATGTCAGATTAATCACATTCACAGGAACAAGAATTTGTAACTTTAAGGGTGTTTATGTATTTATTGTGTTTTCTATTATCAGGTTGTATACGTAACAGCTACCTTTCCCTACCTGGTTTTAATTATTCTATTAGTACGAGGTGTAACTTTACCTGGCGCCATGGATGGTCTTAGATTCTATCTGATTCCTGATTGGGACAAACTCTTTACATTACAGGTAAGTTTTAACCGGGAATATAAATTTTGTACAAATTTACAATTGGAGGGTCTAGAGCACAAGTGATCTAACTACGAACCATTTTAGTTGGTTGTTAGATCACTTGTGCTCTAGACCCTCCAATTATGTCTTTGAATGGCTTATCTTGTCATAGGCACCTTTGATTTAATATTTTATTTGACATAATAACAAGAATTCGGGTGGTTATCATTAAATTTTACTTTCTACTTCAGGTATGGGGTGATGCTGCTATACAGATATTCTATTCTATGGGTATGGCTTGGGGTGGTTTAATTACCATGTCATCATATAATAAATTTCATAATAATGTCTACAGGTAAAATTAACTTTTAATTTTCTGTTATAATTAAATGGGCTTGTTATGTAAATAAAGGTCTAATTTTTATAACATTTGAAGCCTATAGAAAGACATGCAAAAAGCATATTTAGCTCTTAACTAATGTATCTTTAAGACTTACATAGGCTACATTTCAGTCAATCTGTTTGATTTCATCTACAATTGATCGTTTAGTTTTTATCAATATGCAATACTTTGTATTTAAATCATAGCAAGTTTCCTTTATTCCATCAAATTTATTTTATTCCACTGCTTTGCTTTTCCAGGGATGCTATTATTGTTCCATTGATGAATTCTGGCACAAGTGTTTTTGCCGGTTTGGTTATTTTTTCTGTCTTGGGTTTTATGGCTAAAGAAACTGGTGTGGACATCTCTGAGGTTGCTACACAAGGTAAATAATCCTAGTAATTATCTTAAAGACGCTTGCTGCCCAAAGACTATTTGTAAAAGAATAACTAAATTTGCATATGGCTGATAAATATCCACTAGATTGCTATCCAAAGACCAGGTCAATAAAATATCTAAGTTTGTCCATGACTAATAAATGTTCATGATTTTAAACAAATATGTTGATTTACATTAGCTGTCCAAATTATTTCAAATATCATTCTAATACTTCTATGTACTTTCCATTTTTCAGGTCCAGGTTTAACCTTTGTTGCTTATCCCTCGGCAGTTGCTAGGTTACCAATTTCACCATTATGGGCTGTTCTCTTCTTCCTTATGTTGTTTACTATTGGTCTTGATAGCCAGGTAAGATTTATGTTTTTATTTGGAAGTCAAATCACATGCGTAACATTGCACCAACAAATAGCAAACTGCATCAGTAGGTAACAACATTAGATCTTTTCCACCGATCATTCATCATATGACAAACTTCAACCAATGGGTGAGGTTTGTTCATTAATTTTATATTTTGACAATTGCTATATGACTGGTTATATGGATGTTTATACATAAAATAACATTTGTCAGTAATTGCTCAGCCTCAATGTAGCATGAAATGCATTCAAATTGAGCCTTAAAAACATTCAAAATTTTAAGCTTATCATTTTTGAAAATCGTGATATCCATTATAATCTATTATATACAGTTGCATTAAGGTTATTTTGTTTATAAATATTTTCTAATGTGGTTACATGATGTTTGAACTGCAGATTTGCATTTAGAAAACTTAAATTATTAAAAACACTCTAATAATTGTAACAAACCATAGTAGAAATTATTTTTAATGATTCCCTTGGACACATAAATAACTTACTAGCATCTAATGTTGTTCGGTATATTTGAAAATGCTGTTAAAAGGAGTTATGTATTTAACAAACAGTAAGCCTTTAGATACCATACTGAAAATCTATAAATTATATCCAACAATTTAAAATGCTGTTTAAAAGTGATAATACCATACAAGGAATAAAAATTAAATGATTTTGGCATAAATAGCATTCTATACCTATTTCACTGATGCATTTGAGCTATCGACTTTGAAAACAAAAGATTAATTACATTTTATGGATATTTGGATAAGAATTGAATTTCTAAAAATAATACACCCTTTGGAAGAGATATATTTCATAATTATATGACAAATTATCAAAGCACATAAATTACATATGTGCACATGTAAATTTGAGATTCAGAATCAAAATTTATCCATATCATTTGATTAGTCGTTGTTGAAAAGAGTTCATATTCACAATACGACTGCCACTGGTAAATCTTGTTGTATAATACAAAGTTTGATTTTGATTATTTGCAATACTTAGCAGCAAATTCAGTTTATTTCAAAATTAGATTTAGGTTCTCTAGTAAAATTAACCAGATTTACTTTGTGGCTTTTAGGATTGTACATGTATTAAAATGTCTTTAGTTTAGTTTCAGCGTAAGAACTATGAGTGAATGAATAAAACTAGGCGTGGTTGCATGAAGGTATGAATTGGGGGTGAGAGAGTTGAGTGTTAGGGTGCGATATATTTGAGGGGTTGATATCTTTTTTATAAGAAAGTGGGTGAAAGTGTTCTCGGTATGGGCATGGTTGCACCAAGAACCTGTTATTCTCGAGGTAACAGTAAGTTGTAATATATTTTTAAGAAAAGATGATCGAGTTCTAAGATGCTGTTAGGTGTAATTTTTGAATACTTGAGTAATATCCTATAAGAAACTAAATCATAAACATGAATTATTATCAAAGAATTTTCTAAAACTTTGTACAAATATACATTACGTAAATATATTTTTTTTTGATTCGAAAATTCTGTTTTAAAATATTACTTTAGGAAGCAATAATAAATAACTATTTGGGAATGTTTGAGGGGGATGTTAAATCCATGGGAATGGTTAATTATATATTACTGGGGAGTATTTTTGTAAATAAGAACATATTTTTACTCATTTCGAAATTGTAATAGATGAAGAGATTGGAGATATTTTAACTGAAAACAATTGAGAAATGATTGAACAAATTCTAAATTTAAAGTTATGGAGAATCAAAAAATTCTATTTGTAAAGAATTCTGATAACATTTTAAGATATAAAATAGTAAGTAATTCAGAAAAGAGTAAAAATATGTCTTGTAATCACTTTACGTGATATGAAAATAATGTAATAGTGTGTTTTTATTTTTGTATTCATTGCTAAACAAAGGCTGAATTGTTTTATTTGTTGGTGTTTATTGGAATAAGGATTTTTTGATTTACAAGTTCCAAATGTGCCTCTTTCAATGCCCACTTTTATTATTTAGTTTTCACACTAAAAAAAGCTTTGTAAATTTGCGTAATGTTTTAAGAGTTTTACATGCATTTTTCATGTAGTTATCATTTATGACTCCTGAAAAAGGTTTTAATGTAGAATTTAATTCTTTTTTTACAACCTTTTCCAGGCAGTAGGTGTCCCAGTTTGAAGAACTGATTGTTTCCGCTTATGGACAACATATTACAAAACTTTTTAAAAAAGAAAACTAAATAATTATCAAAATTAAAATTTATTTAATATAGTTTTATATCTTACTGGTGTAGCATTGAAAGCAGGTATTTTTTAAATTTAGATAAACCTCTTTTGATATTGAATTGAATCCTATATTCCCCAAAGGAAATAACAAAGTTCATTACTTTTTGTCACACGATGTATTAATATTCATGTTTTGTTGTTGTTGTTGTTAACAAACACAGATCATTGAATTGTTGAACAGGGCCAAAAAGAACACACATTCTACACACTGAGTCGAGTTTTGGGGACAAGGATAGGAAAGGACCAATTGCCCTTCTAAATCACCTATTATGAGTTACCTAATTGCTTTAATATTTTTGGTTCAATTCTATTTTCAACATGTAAAGAAAGTACACCAGATTTAATTGTGAATTCAAATTTTAAATTACACAATAGAGCCTGAATTTATTCACAACTATGCTTACATGTATTGAATACATTGTACCCATAATCTTTCAAAAAATTACTAAGCAGTCAATTTTACATGTGTCCTAGATTTTTAAATAAAAAACACAGGAAAGATACCAGGGCATTACACTTACAAACCACACATATTGAAAATCTGTTGCAGAGACTTTCTTCTTTAGCACATTATAATACATCTCATCTGAATTCAAATGCACCTTTAAATTTGAAAACTTATACTCAATGTGGGGGTAAATTAATATTTTACAGAAAAGCCATTTTAACATGAAAGCAGGCGGACTGATAGTGAGGTTTAAAACTGGTTAGTATTGTGGAATAGAAAAAATGTTACCATTCTCAGCCTTTGTTAAATTTTATATTAATCATGTTATTTTCATCATTTCTAAAGGGTCGCCAAAGGTCATGACCTGCAGAAGATTGAGGGTTTGACCTTGACAACTGTTGTTAAGTCTCCATGTCATTTGATCAATCTATATCATATTTCAAACTCAAATTTCTATCAAGACTTTTTTAAAGTTTTATTTTTGGATCAATTTGGCTTTACCATATCCTTACCTTAATACACTAAACATTTCTTTAATTCAAGGAAATGCAATTATAAACTGATGTTAAACTTCATCATTATTGACATACTGAAATATTTCTTGGCCCGTCATGCTTACGAATAGTATGAAATGTATCTTTAAAATTGTATTTCCAAAGAAATGTACCGTCTTTGCCCATTTAAAATTCAAATAAATTTTTTGTATAGTTTGAAGACCTACTATTTATATTCTGATTGTATTATTGCATTTCTTTTCATCAGATAATTCCACTTTAAAGGGCATATTTTCCCTTTTTGAAATCTGAAAATGTTCAGCACAAAAATGATGAAATTATAATTATAAAAGTGTCTTCAATCACAAATAATATATTAATGATTCTTCAAAAAGTCTTGCTAGATGTTTGATAAATATTAACCCCCACTTCATCTTTTAACATGTTCACAACTGTTTTTAGTTGATCTATCTAGATAACTCAATTTTAAATCATCTTTCCTGATCAAACTTTCATTTAATCATTCTTCAAATCAAGATGTAAATGAAACTATAAAACTGTAGTTCGAATTTTCAAATCATTCGCTGTAGAGTAGTTGAAAATATACATTTGTGAACATGTGAATAGGTTTATGAACGTTTTGTTATATAAATCTATTTTTTGGGATACCCTTAATTTTCAAAATGTTAAAAAGGAACATTTCTGTAAAAGAAACTTTGCTAAAAACAATCACCAACCTATTAACAAAACAGCACCAATTAATTGAGGTTAAGTTTATATACAATTGTTCATAGATCTAATAAATGATCTACATTTACCAAAAAGCTGTCTTTTTTTTAAATTTTTTTTTAAAAAAATGGGAAAATATTGAATGGACAGATATTAGCTGTTGTATTTTGAAATTAATTGCTAAATTACATATATATTTCATAAGCATTGAGGGTGCATTACATTTCAATACCATACTAACATGTATATTTAATGCGGATATTGAAATTGCAGCTTTTTGGTTATAATGTAAGCTTTCACTTTATCCATTTTCTTTCAGCAGAAACTAGTCACTGATACTTTTACTTAATTCAACTGCTTTTATTTTTTTTAGTTTGGAATGTTTGAAACTATGACCAGTGCCTTTGTGGATGAATTCCCCAGATTCTTAAAACATAAGAAGATGGTCTTTACAGTTGGGATGTGCCTGGTTGAGTTTGTGTTGGGTATTCCATGTGTAACACAAGTTAGTATATTTATAGATTTATGAATTATGATTCGTGAATTACCTAATATTTATAATTTAACTCTGGGCAAGCACAGTTTGTTACTCAAGCATATTATACCAGTAATTGAATAAGTATTCATATATTTGTGAATTTTGTTTCAGGGAGGTGTTTACATTCTTCAAATCATGGATTGGTATGCTTCTTCATTCTCCTTAATGTTATTATCTCTAACAGAATGTGTTGTCATTGCTTGGATATATGGTAAGTTGAAAACTTTGGCCTGAAAAGTACCATCAATTTTGATTTCTATCAATTTAAATGTATATTATAAGCGATTCACATATTTCAAATTACTATATTTTCAGAATATTAACAAAATCACAATATTCCAGATTTCAGTTCCCTCACAAGTACTTCTAATTTTGATTTTCATGAATTTACCAATTCCGCTATTTGTCAGAAAATGGCAGTATTTCATATTTCAGTTCACAAATAAAATATGGAATTTTTTTACTTTTAGGAGCCGACCGATTTTACAAAGATATTGAACTTATGATTGGTTATCAACCTGGACCTTGGTGGAAGATTTGCTGGAAATACATCACCCCAACACTTATTATTGTAAGTATATTTGTCGTAAATCAATATCTAAAACCCCATTCAATTGTACATGGAAACTTCAGATAGATAGATGCAACCAGCAACCTCTAATCCATACAACAGCTAATCCTATCGCCTGTTAATATACATAAACTTCTAGTATATTGAAGGCTTTACAGCCTAAGCCTCTTTGATTTGGGTCAAAATAAAGTACAGAATTGGGGATAGTCTGATGATTGACATCAGAATACAGCTTTGAAGTAATAATGGGTTGGGTTGGGTTTTTTTGCTGTATTGACACTTTGTTTTACAAGATGTTTATTTTTATTTCAGGCTATATGGATATTCAGTGTTTTTTCTATGAAACCTGTATCATATGGTGACTACCAGTATCCTTCTTGGGCTATATCAATTGGCTGGGCTTTAAGTGTGATATCTATTCTACCATTACCTATTGTAGCTATTTATGAGATATATAAAGAAGAGGGACCTCTTTTGCAGGTGAGATATATCTTTTGTTACATGTCTGTTCCTAGAAATGTAGTTAGTTTTGAGCTCTTGCCATTATAGCTATTGTTGGCTATCAAAGGTTTTAGTCTATTTCTGTACATTGAGATGTAATATTTCTAATTGAATGCACCTAATAAAGTATAAATAAAATTATTCTAATGTGTAGTTTGAGAAAGGGTGTCATTTTCCAGTGTCTGTTCATTAACACTGTTGGTAAGCATTGTAAATCCGTGCAACTAAAGTTCATTGGTAGAAATTTTTATGTGAACCTTTAATTGGATTGGATTATCAGACAAGGTTTGATGGATCTACCCATATTGATGTCGAGACATTAGCTTAACTTTTAAGATAACTTGCTTAACGGGACTCAAATTCTCCTTAAGTGTCAGTCACTCATACTTTACCGTCACTCTTTCCTTTACAGAGAATCAAGAAATTGATTCAACCTGCTGAAAATTGGGGACCAGCTCTTGATAAACACAGAGAAGAATATTTGGCTACCTTAGAACCATCGAAACGTCCAACATATAGAGAAGTTACTGCACCTATTTATTTACCTACAACCTTGCCAACAATCAAAGAAAAATGTCCCTCTCCAATTCCAGAACAAGTGACATTATTAGGTGTCTGTGATCAATTACCCGTTTCAAAATGCTAATCCTGTGATAAAAACTATTTTATTTAACAATACACGAAGGATGAAAGATTTTATGAATGAAACAATTGAGTTCATGCAGAAGCATAGATAATACTGTATTATCTATGGTGGAAGAGCCATTTGGGAATTTTCCTATATTTGATTTCAAGATAAATCTGTTATTTTTTATCAATAAGACTGAACATACAGGAAAGGTTTGGTTGTTCCGAGACAAAATATGGAATATGCTTTCTTCTGATAAAATCAGGTTTGAAGAGAAAATAAAGAACAAAAACAACAGGAAAGGTTTTGAGTATTCTGACTGATAGAATATGCTTTCTTCTGATAAAATCTGGTTTGAAGACAAATTAAATAAAATATATACTTGAATCCAAGTAAAATGGCAAAATACAAGGCTTTCAAATACTGAATATTTTATTAGTGACATCATCACAGAATACTTATATTTGAAAAATAAGATCTGGATGAATTGCAATATTGTGTTTATTCATTTTGAGCTTATGGAACTATTAAAGTATCCTGCTTGCCATCCGCTGTGAAATTAATACTAAGAAAGGACCAAGTTCTGTGGACATCTACCATTTGAAATTATAATAAAATTTAAGATCTAAAAATGCAATTGTTATACTAATTTTTTTAGACCAAAGGATTATGTTTTAATATTAGACCAAAGGATTGTTTTAATTTACATGACAGTTAAGTCAAAATTATGGAATTATAAGATTTGAAACTGATAATTTAAGATCTGAAAGCACTACAATCCGATAGTTATACTAATTTTTGAGACCAATGGATTTTGTTTTATTAAATTTACAAAACAGTAAAACGCCAAAGTTATTATTTGTTTAAATATTTAGTATTAATACCAAACAAGAATACTCAATTTTCTCATATATCATATCAAAATAATTTTTATTTGCTCTTTGACTAGGAATGGTATTCCTATTTTTTGGTATTATTATTACTTTTAAAGTCCTTTTTAATTTATTGTTTTAAACTACCGAAGTGATTATGATCAGTTCTCATTTGTTGCTCATCATGTACATTATATCATATCTCATTCATAATTATATTATACATGTATATAAATAGAAATTTATATAATTAATAAAACAACTGAAAAAAAAATTTTGCACTTTTATTTTAATTCTGTACCTTTACTTACTCCATATGCCTACGCCTCTGCAATACATAAACATTCATAGTACTTGTCATGTACTACATGTACATATAGAGACAACCAGATTTCACACACCCTTCATGTAACTTAGTGCCTTGTGAGGAGTTTGTATGTGTTGCCCTAATTAATTATGAATTGGTAGGATATGACCTCATGTCTGTTCACATTAATTGTGGACCCTCTACAAGGTCACAACTTTATCCCATTTTGATGAAACTTAAAATATACATGTATGTTTATATTCCAAGGATAGCGGATGGGTTTTGTCATGTTTCAAACCATAACTTTGTGGGTTATTGCCCCTGATTGTACGGAAGCCATGTTTTTGCTTGTTGAATCCAGAGTCTGCAGATCAATATTTTTATAAAGCTTTAAATATAATTTTATGGTTTCTGACTGATATTCCAGGCTGTAGCCAAAACACAAAATTCAACTAAAAGAATCTACATTGACTGTTAGTGGATATTATCAAAAAAGAAATGGCTGTCAGATGGTGGGGAAGATATGTTTAATAATAGTTTTGTCTATTTATCCTCTAATAATATTCATAAATGCGTAGCCCTATTGGCAGCAGATTATGTAAAAAGTTCTAAATGAACCAATTATATGTAGCACTTGAAAAGCTTATAATATCTGGTTTCAGATTTCTACAGCCTATTCATAAAGGTCATGTTTGGGGTCATTTGGTTTGGTTGATAAAATATGTCATCTTTGTCAATAAATACTACAGGAATACTTCACAATAACCATTATCAGGGGAACATAGGCGTACGTTGCCGAACTTGTTTGGGGGGGGGGGACAGCATATTTTCCCGACAAATATATTTCTTTAGAGTCCGCGGAGCTGCGCGCGGCGAAGTCGTCCGCCCGCGAGCCCCGGAGTTGCGAAGCGTCCGACGGGGGGTCTGGGGGGCCTCCCCCATAAAATTTTGAAAACCAGACGGCCGTAGACGCGATTTCCAGGCATTTCGAATACTTTCTAGTAATTTGGAGTGGGTAGTAAATTATGTCAGTTGCAGCATAAAAACTGGTAAAAAGTCATCTTTGAAATAAAAGCTCTATTACTACGAAAACAAGAACATGTCGAACGATTTACTTTTGCCACATTTTTCATTTTATGAGACTTCACATTTTTTATCCAGATCTCAGATGTATAGAAGACTTGTATATACTTTATCTACTTTTAATATATGAATGACCATTTTAAAAGAGTTCAAATTTACAATCTATATATTCCGTATTACGATTTACTTTTGCCACGTTTTTCATTATATGACAGTTCACATTTTTTATCCATATCTAAGATAGATAGATCTAGAATCAAGATAGAAGACTCACTTCTATCACTGGGCTCGTCCGGTGCATGGAGTAGGATGCCAGTATACAGGAACACAGTACTCAAGAACTGAGAAAGGCCATGTGTACGTGCTAGTTCTATTCAGATGGCGTACGTGTTCATCATTGACTAGACTACCTTCTTTCCGCTTCCATATTATTAAAAATATTGAAAACTCGACAGACGGCGCGACGCTTCCCGACAAACTGAGCATTCATTCCCGAGAAGACCATAGCCTTCCCCGACAAGGCCATACCCCTACCCCACCCCATTTTCAAAAACTCCTCGGCTAATGACCGATCTCACAATTCTGAGCTCTTTTCAGATTTCAATTTTTTTTCATGAAAATATTGGGGGGGGGGGCGGTGCTCTCCCGTCCCCTCCCCCGTCTCGTACGCCTATGCAGGGGAAGCAATTAAAGAGACCAGAATTAACATATTATTATAAGTTAATAGAGAAATGGTGGTCTGGTTCCTATATTATGACCAAAAGATTTGTCTCCCTTATAACACAAGAGGTCCATCTCCTTCATACCTCCCTAATAGACATACAGTCTAATTTTGGGATACTATTGTTATCTGAATATGAGTTATTATATGCATATGTTCTCAAGAAAACTATCGCGATTTCATATCAAAACTATTTGGTACGTTTTAAAAATGAAATCTATCCCTTCCGAAAATATTACAGTAATATTTTCCGATATTACATAACATTTATTCCATTTTTTAAGGGAGTGGCAGTACCGGATCGACAATAGGTCTTTCGAGGCATAGGTCTCAGGGCCACCCACAATAAATATCAGTTGAGTACAATGCAGTTAAAGATGGGTTCCCGCGTACAAACGGGGTGATTTAATGGAGAGAGGGAGAGAGAGAGAAATGGGTTTTAACGTCCACTCTACACAAACTAGGTCATTTTGGGACTAACACATGGTTCAATTTTATTTCAATAATTCGCTTGTGCGTAGGGGTCTTTAGCAGTAGGAGGAAACCGGAGGACCCGGAGAAAACCCTCGAGGTTGGGCAGGCGACCCTACTCCTTGTCACATACAACTGGGGAATCGAAACCCCGCCAGTTGACTCAATGACAGACCGTATGATAAAACGCGCGCGTGCTAACAATTCGGCCATCCAACACCCCGTGATTTAATGGTATATATGGACTAAAAACATATTCAAACTAATTAATTTGTCATAACTTTGCTTCAAATCCTTCTCAAACATTGTAATTGCGAAGGAATGTCCTGCTATAAAAATTCGATCAAACCAGGTCACGCGACTTACCTCTCTTGGAAGTCAGAGGAGAATTCATTGCATACATAAGACGATGTTGTCTTTAATTGCTTACTATTTATTACAAATATCGAATCCTAATTAAATTCTCGAATTATCCACTACCCGCGTCTTTTTCCGTCATTTTTATCTCAGAAAGTGTTTCACGTCTAACTCTACATAAAGTTTATCAACTTGTACATCACGCGTGCAGAAATTCCTAATCGTCGGGCTGTTGATTAGGGGAACCCTTACATTTTTGTCCTGTATACGCTCCATGAGTGTTTTTCGGGGAATCCAGTATTTTTCTAGTAAGATTGGATATCTCTACTTTCCATATATACCAAAATTACCATACTTTTATTAGAAATAACCACCCGATAAATACTTTTCTGGGAACCCATCTTTAACGTAGGCTTGATCTGAGGCGTTCCGAGCGAGTCCATGTTTCCACCCTACTACCAGACTAAATCACACATTATTCCTTCCGACTACATTGTAGGTCCGTAAAACAAAGAAGGGGGGGGGGGTGACCTTGACCAGCTTCAACTAGAACTGACACTGTAGCCCTTTTACCACCCCTACGGAAATTGTAGGTGTTGCGTGATAGTATAAACGTACAGCGACAGACACATATACTAATGTCCAAAAGAAAGAATACACTGAGCATTTTGTCCTGCTTCAAACAAAGTCGTTTTTCCATTGCATGCGGTATTTGTGTACAATGTCCATTTGTTTTGCCGTTTATTTGCTTAGAAATATTGAGTTTGGACGCACGAGACATGTTCAGTTTTTTTTTATTTAAACAAAACTTAGTCATATTTTTAGTGTGTATACTTTCTTTTGGACATTAGTTTATATTATGTATCCATAATAAATCGCTAGTGGCTCTCGAGCTTCCAATCGCCGACGTGACTGATTTAATTAATCGCCGCAATACAATTCACAAAAACATCAGGATTGTCAAGAACCGAGAGAGCAAAGCCGTTACTGCAAGCATTGTAATTCAGGCCAATTCTGGCATCTTCTACTGTTCCAAATGGCAAAAGATATTTGCCACCCGATTGGTCTCCCAGAGGCGCCGTGTCAGTACCCCGAGTTTCTAAATATTTGGTTGATTATAATTTGAATTGCACTGGTTATAAGGTTCAGATTTGTGCAAACCCGTCTCTCCTTGTTTCAGCCCCCGTTCTTTACTTCATATGTAGGGACGAATTTACCAATAAGCATAGGGCCCACGGGTATCTGGGGGCTATCTGAAACTAATTTCTCGTGCAGCGTGGAACAAGTGAAGCGTACACCGGGGATTTTATTTGATAATATGTTTAAAATCACTAGGACCCTGTACAATATGTGTGGGACCCCTGTACAATAAGTATATGCGCACAGTGACCCACATTCACAAATAAATTCGGCCATGTTCATATGACATCTGAAGAAATCCAAATCCAGCGCGCAGTTTCAGATTTCACATCTAAAGGGTCTAGGCGCAAGCGAATCATTGAAATAAAATTGTACCATTTTAGTCCCGAAATGACAGTTTCTGACGAGTGGACGTTAAACAACATTTCTCTGGCTCTGGCCATTCTTTATCTAGAACGTCACCCTGCAGAAGGAAACACGTTTTAAACAATTCTGGTCAATGCAAAATTTTCTATAGTGAAGTATGCAGCTCGCTTACAAAAGATGATTCCGCGTACCGGTACAGGATGTGGAACATATTGACGAAAGCTCGGATATAATACTTGAAACTTACCATAGCTCTTTGTGAATACTTTATTGTCGATTATTTCGATAACTAATCTGCGGATGAAATGGATTTCTTGTAACTATTTTTCTAACTTGAACGGCATGTAACAGACGCTGCGTATGACGCTTATGATGAAAACGAGGCGTTCACGAAAACGAGGCCTGTTAAACGCTGAACGATCATAAAGCATGTACTTTACATTTAAATGCAAGAACCTGGCATCCCTACTCTATTATATATAAAGACTAGTATTTTTTCCCATCCACCAG